GGTTTAGTCATCAAGCTCAACCAGTGTCAGCTGGACATCTTGAGGGTCCAGTCGTCATTGTTTGTAAAAAAATTAGACAAGGATGAAAGATTGTTCAGTATCCAAAATAGAGGCCGCTGTTGGTTTTTTGAGGGGGGCCCAATCTGTGGTAGAGCTGTCAAGGTTCAGTCATCAAGCTCAACCAATGCATTTATTGTTGACAAATTTGGGACAAACAGAAGATATATGGTAGCCAAACCTTTTTGGGGACCAAGCAATGTTTGGCCTCCACTGAAAATATCCAAGGGAAAAATGACAAAAAGAGCATCGGTTGTTCATCTTAAGCGTCTTTCAAGGGACATTGACCCAAAAAAAAAAAAAAAAAGCACCCGCCAGCCATCTTAAGAATCCATCATCATTTATTGTTGATAGAATTGAGACTACAGAAAGACAGGAGGTGGCCAGAGCTCTTTTGGGGACCAAGCAATGTTTAGTCTCCTGAGATGCATTGGCTATCTTATCTACTTCTCGCAATTTTATCAACCATGAATGACAATGGACTCTTAAGACAATCTTCTAAGTAGAGACCATTGCGTTTTTTTTTGAAGAGCCCCAATTTGTGATAGAGCTGTGGTTTAGTGTTCAAGCTCAAACAATGCATTTGCTGTTGATAAAATTGGGACAACAGAAGATAAGAAGTAACCAATACATTTGAGGCAAAACGATGTTTGACTTCTACTGAGAGCATTCAAGGAAAAAAAAAAAAAAAAAAAAAAAAAAGATAAAAAAAAAAAAAAACACCAGGGTCCATCGTCATTGACTGTTGATAAAAAAAATTGAGACAACAGGAATATAAAAGATGGCCAGGTGTTTCAAGGGAACAAACACTGTTCAGCCCCAAAAATATTTTATCTTTCTGCAGTGTGAATTTTATCACCAATGACAACCATCTGGCACTCATTTTGTCGCTGTTCCTTAGATTTGGATGGGGACCCAATCTGTAGTACAGCTGCCAAGGTTTCGCCATCAATCTCAAACAATGCATTTTTTGTTCATAAAACATATTCCAGGGGCCAAACAATGTTTCCAAAGTATCCAAAGAAAATCAACAAAAGAGCACCAGCTGGACATCTTAGGAGGCCTTTGTCACTAATTTCTGCGATTGGATGAGTTGAGATTGTGAAATTCATCTGTCCCTTCCCTCCCCTCTTCCATTCACAGTCTCTGAAACAATGTGTTTTCTAAATGAACGAGTTGAAGGAATCATTGACAACCTATCTTCACTACACAGAAAACCAAAGCTAACAGTGGTATCCGGTAAAATACAACTAAGGTTTCCAGCCTCCCCAGCAGTCCCCTAGACAGACATTAGTATACCAAGACTTAGAAGTAACCAAATCGTTTTCTTTCCCAGGAGTTACATCTAAAAAGACAGGTTCAATTTAGAATAAAACTCCCCAGCCCCGCTTCCCTCCTTGACCTCCTTTCCTACCCCAAGATTCTTCCACCCACCTGATTACCCTTTGGAGGCCTGAAGCTTCCCACCCAGTAACTTCCCATGGATTTAATGGGTCAATGGTACGTGAGTGGGCCATTCAAGTCTGAGAAGTTACTGCCCAGCAGCAACAAAAGATGCCTGCACCGAGCTGTAACATCACTGTAGACTGCCACCATAAAAAAAAAAATAGGTTGGCATCTGGGTGGGTGGTGGTTTATCTTAGAATGACTTAGGGGGCTGGGGAGATGTTAACGTGAACCTGTCCTGTAAAGTGATGTCACCTTGCCCATTCAGGCACTCAAGCTTAGAGCCTTACCACTAGGCATGAGCATTGCATCATGGGAGGCAGTCAATTCTCCCTCATATCCAGAATCACTGGATATTTTGCAGTGGCAGCCATGGAAGGAAGGATCGTGGTGGGTTGGGGAGACCCTGAATGGGCAAGGTGACAGGGTCTCTTTAAGGACACATCCACACCACAACACATGCCACAATGCACCATATAAATATACACGTTTATGGACAACATAGTGGTCACTCTGCGTGGCACCTGAAACATCAGCTATACTGTATTTAAAGCTGAACTCCAGGAACCAGACAAATACTTATTTTCCAGTGTGGGGTACTTACATTATTTCTGGTAGGCCTCAATCCATGGGTTTGGTCCAGTGCTGCTGCCCCTCTAAGGCGCTCTCAGCAACACTTGGCTGCTCACCACCTCAATTACAATGCAGAGTTATTAGCCCTGCACTGCAAGTGATGATGCCAAGGAACCACCTACAATCTGGAGCTGGAGGCTGCTGGAGCCAGGGATAAGGTAAGTACTACACCATATCCCTACACCCCTATACTAAAACAAGCTTTTAACCCTCACTGCAGGAGTAAATCTAATTCCTGAAATTCACGAATAAGGAATTATAATCTGCAGTCAATTGCTGGTGCCTCTTCACCCCGAAAGAGGCACTCAAGGGTGTGAATGCGCCCCATATAAAGAAAAATACGAATTGAAGGGGAGAGTAACAATGATTTACAAGCAAGTGCAAGGACCTCATTTTTTGTGTTGACCACCAATTGTCAAAAGATTAAATGGAATGTGCCTCACCAATAACAGCGAGTTCTTTGACGTCAACTGCATTTTGGTTTGAATGGGCTCCATGGAAAGAAACAAAAAAGATGGAAGGAGAAAGTTACCACCCTTTACAAGCAATTCCAAGCAAGGACCGGTTCTTGGTGTGTTGGAACGGGAAATTGAATGTGCCGCAAGTGGGTGATTTGATGTGAACTATGTTGTAATGTGAATGGGCCCCAAGAGAAAAAAAAGTGATGGAAGGAGTGTGGTCAAACAAAATGTAAGGTCAAACAAAATGTGCCTCACCAATAAAAGTGCATTCTTTGACAAACTGCGTTTTTTTTTTTTTTTGTGAATGGGCCCCAAGGAAAGAAAAAATATAGAAGGAGAGCATTCCAACCCTTTACAAGCTTAACCCTTCACAAGTGTAAGGATCTCTTCTTGGTGTGTTGA